GAAGACAGGGTGCAGCCCCCAATCCCAATGCACGCCAGGGACATGGAGGCAAGATGCAGAGGATACAGGGAAGAGGTCTTCTTTGTGACTGCCCGAAGGAACTGAAAATTCAGGATGCCCCCAATGAGCCCACAGATACAGCAGGCTGAGAAGAGGATCATCTGACAAGGAAAAGAAAGAGGGGTTAAACTTGAAGACACAAAACTTCCTGGAACACAGGCTATTGCACGTCCAGGATGGCTGACTTTGAAGGTGCTAATAGAGGACAGAAGCTAGCCTTTCAGTAGGGATTCTATTTGGTCTGACTTATTGGAGAGGAAGTACACCACAGTGTCTCAGAAATAGAAATCAAGGATATATCTGATGAGAATTCTGAAGTAAGTATTGTCTTTCAGCTAGATACAGATTTAAACAACATTTATTTAATACTTATTGTGGGCCACTATGTTAGGAATAGCAATAGAGTCATCTCAATTAGCCTTGCCAGCAGTCCACTGAAAGAGATACTAATGCACATTTTGGAAAAATGAACAGTGATTAGAATAAACTCAAATTTAGGTACTTAGATTTTCTAGCTTAAATCCAGTTTCACTATGTCAGTCCTCTCAAAGTGTCAAAATATCTATTGAATTTTCATTACTTCCACTTAACTTCAAATATTTGTGCCTCTTCAAATATTTGTGCCTCCTATGTATATGAACTTAGGGAATTTAGTTAAATCCTTTTTACTTTCAGTAAGTCTTTTATTGCTTGTGTATCTTTTTCCTCAACAGGTAGATTAAGGAATTCCCATGAACTGGCCCTCTACCTTACAAATCTTTTGTTTACTCTGGTGGCACTACAATGAAATATAAATAATAGGTGTTCCAAAAATACTGTTTGATTATGGCTTAGCTTTCAAACTTATTATTGGTTTGATCTGGGTCTCTACTCATAGGAGGGGGCAGTAATCAATCTAAATATCATCCCAGAAGATGAAGTGCAATGCTTTCTGTAGCAATGTTTTCTGAATATTTAAGAAACTTAGTTTACTATTTCAAGAAATTTAATAATTTTACTTTGTTTTTGCATCTGGTATAAATTATCCTGTGGGCTTTCCTGGTATTTGATAATGTGATACTAATTTAATTATCCAAACTTATTTCCATTCTTCTCTGGAACATAGTATTCAATCACTCCACCCCCACGCCCACTGGGCTAGGGATGGAACCCAACCTCTCAAGCTCCAAGTCCAGCACTGATCTACACCCCAGCCCAGATTTTCTTGTCCATTAATGGAGCTTGCTCATTTACATCTCAAGGATATTTTTAGTTTCCTGGAAATGTTTTTGCTTTATCCTTGTGTTCCTAAATGAAAGGCACAAATCAAGTCTTAACTTTTCAGAATGCCTTCCTGGATTTATTGATCCCCTCCTTTGCTATAATTCTCCAGAGCAAGCAGCTTTATAACTTACTTTAGCATTTAGTTTTACATGAACAGGTATTATTTGCTTTCCACAGGTAGTTAAGTTTAGCAGCATTAAGGAGTACCTAGCACCTGTGAGATCCTAAGTGAGGCAGCTGGCACTACCAAGAATAGCTCATAATTATTCTCTTTGAGATCTCGTGAAAGAGAAGACTCAATTCCTCAAGGTGATGTGATAAATATTAAGAGGAAAAGATGAATTGTTGCCCTAGGAGTAGGAGAAAGGGGAGGTTAGAGTTTAGCCAGTGAGGGTTGTTGGAAGCTTCCAGGATAACATGCCATCTTAGCTAAGTGCATCTAGGTGCCAACAGAAGGCCCAGCCATGGGTGGGTCAAGCACAATGAAAAAAATGTTCAGATCTTATGATTTTTTTCTTTCATACTTTATAAGAGACTTAGAAAGACAGGAAACAGACACTAGTGTCTTTTTAAAAAGTTCCTCCTTCCTTCTTCTCTCCATCCGTTTTTCCCTTCTGTCCTTCCTTGCTTTTTTCTCCCAATAAGTTGTTCTTACACAGCCATAGAGAGACTCAGTAGAGGAAAGATGGAGAAGAATGAAGGCCATGTCTAAAGAATGATGGGAGAATCATAGGTGCCAATTCCATGTATCCAAGAAAACACTTTTTTCCTCCCAAAGATTTCTTTTTCCCACTTTATATAATTTTTAAATATTACAGCTCACATGTCTACAGCAGTGAGTACGTAATCGTTTTTGTCACAATGGAAGTTATCATAGAAAAAGGCATAATTAGAAAAAGGGACAAAATGAAGATAGCTGCAATTCTATACATTTCTGGTCCTGCTCAGACACCTGGCCTCTCCTTGTAGAACCGCAGGCTCAAAGGCCACTTCCTAGAGTTGTTGTGCAGCATTGATTTTGCCATTTGGCAAAGGTTTATGATTTTTCCTTTTGTATTCAATAAAATAAGACATGCTTTTTCTTTCTCTTCAAACTTTCATAAAATGACATGAAAGGCAAGAGGAGGATTCACATTTCAGCATGTGGTGTTCTCCTCCAGCCCAATGTCAGAGTCAACCAGGAGCATGTTCCCTACCCCAGAACCTAAGATAGAACCATTAAACATCTGAAAACACTTACATGTGCATTTATAGTAATAAAATAAAATAAATCTTTAAGAATTGTCTGTAACCATAACAACACAGCTGTCTTGATGCATTGTGAAATTAGTTTCATAAAGCCAGTAATTCTTAGGCCCAGATCCATATTCAACCAGCTAAATTTCCCAAAGACTCAAGCTTTATTGTTTTTAGCTCATGGAAGGTTTCAGGTGATTGCCCAGGAGTCTCTAAGTGGAAAACTGGAGGCTGTCATCCCTAGCAGACATTAACGCTTGCATATTTATGTATTAGGAGAGCATATCAAAGCTTTTTTGTGCTGGTATTTTGTCATTGTCTCTCCTACTCTTGATGATTTTCTTTGAAACAAGAAAGTCAGGATTTATTTGTCAGATTTGTCAGTCTCATTTTTATCCTAGCTAGTAACATTCAGTACATGGAAGTTGGCTAGTCATCTTTTCTGGTTTTGAATTCTTATATTTTAAACACTTCAATGCATAGTACAACAAAGGAAAAAACTTACGACAAGTCCTGATTTTTTTTTGGCGCACAATATCCCACATATGCCACAGAGAAGAAACTGCAAAGGAAAAGAAGTAAAATTATTCTATTTTCAAAGACAGGAGAACACCTAACTTTTTAGCTTATTATAATTCACTCACAACACTTGCTCCAGGGAAGTGTAAAAGTTTTAAATTCCCATCAATATCTTGAAAGAAAAATATCTGATTATATAATAGTTAAGGCTAAAAATAAACACTCTAATTAAAATTTATTTTTTGAAAGTTGATAAGAGTAATAGTGAGGTTTAAGCCCAAATTAACTAGGTTCACACCAGGAAAAATTATGAAGTAAATGAAAAATTACTTCATAAAAACTAGGTTCACACCAGGAAAAATTATGAAGTAAATGAGTTCTGTTCCTCTTGTTTCCTATTACGTCTTATCCCTTTCTACTTTCTCAGGAAGAAAAGTGGTGTGATACATTCATTCATACTAAACAACTAGCAATAGGTTTTTACTTCAGGTAGGGGTTTAGTACAAAGGAAAAGATAAGGCATCAGTCAGGGACATATTTCTCTAAAAAGACATTATTTGTACCTGTCGAATTGGTACAATGGCTACCTCATTCCATCAGAATTGAGAATGCTGCCCTTGTGGAAACATCAAAAGAACACAAGGGAATGAAGTGACTAGAGGCATATAATTTCATGTAAATAAGAACACTGGTGACATAATTGCTTTGCAAAAGCAATTACATTAAATCATCTATCAACAAAACATTATTAGACATTTTGATTATCATGAAATGGTAAAGAGTAAAGTTTGGATATAAACATTTAAGGTCATTTCAATCCGAATTGGCAAATACTTCAGACTGGAACTATTATATAAATAGATTAACTCATTAACAAGTGAACAAGCCCACTAAAGGCTTTCAGATTTGCAAAAAGAAACTTGTTTCCATTTTACTTTTTAAAATTTTGCTTTCTCAAATGAAAACTAAAACACAACTGATTTAAACTATGTATCTCACACCTGGATAGATTTTAAAAATATGTATCAAAATATCCTAAGGATTATCTGAAATAGTATGCATGTAAGAAGTACAAATAAACTTGTTGGAAAATAATGGGTAAAGGAAATTGTTGCCAGGGAACTTCCCACATAATGGAGCAAAATGATTTTATAATCACCTGCTTTATAGTAGACAGTGGTACAGGAGGACAGATCTGGGGACACGAGAGTACATAATTTAGATGACATTTCAAACTAATGAGGAAAGGATCAGGATTATTCAATAAATGAAATTAAATAATTTGTTGACCTTCCCCTAATATCATATACCATAATTAATATAAAGCGCTTTGAGTTTTAGAGGCATAAAAATTTATAAATGTGTTAGGATATGATAAAGTTACAAATGTGTAATTTTAAAGAAGTGGGGAGGAATATCTAAATATAACCCTGAAGTCCATAGATCAAGGTAGGAAACACTTATAAACTGAGGAGAAAATTATGATTTTATGAATCAAAAATATTAAAACTCAAAGGTAAAAAATAACTTTAGGATCATATTCACAAAATATATTATGGGCAAAGGGTTAAAACACTCTAATCGCATAAAATATTTATAGTACTAATAAAATCAGGAGAAGATAGAAACTCAGAACCTTATAAGACTTGAATACTTACATAATTTTCAAAAATCTTAAAAAGTGATTTCTGAGTAAAAGCTTCTTACAGCCCTCTGTGCCCTAATTTAGACCTCCTGTCCTTGTGTGGAGTCCTTCTAACTGATTCTATCTAGCATATTTTAAGGCTGTGCTGAAGCAATTTCAGTTTGGACCAATCCTGTACCTCTTCATGCCTTAAACCTCAAAGCCAAGCACATCTTTCTCCTTAACTAATTCTAACTCGACCTGAAAATCCGTTCACCCGGAATTCATTCTTGAAATAATTTGAAAGCTGTGTAGTTTTATGTTCTTTGGATCTGTTTTGAAATCTATAAATATCATCATTATTTATTTACTGTAGACTCATGGGACCTCAGGAGCATAAGCGGAGGTCACTACCCCAGCCACTTTGTTGGAACATCTAGTTGGAAGTGAAATTGCTACATCTAGGTAGCAATTTGTCCCAGTTCACTTGAATGGAGCTAAGAAATGGGAGTTCAGGGATGGGGAGGGGGAAGGCAGAGGAGGGAAATTAAGCAGTGTTTTCCCATTCTCTCTCATCTCTGCAGTGTAAATAGTCTCTAATAGTTACTTCTGTATCTAAAATCCACATTCCTTAGAGGAAACCTGTAATCCTAGAAGAAAATATAGATGCATGCAATGGGAAGTATATAAAATTATGGAATTTTTGAGAAGGAACTGGGAGATCTTGACTTAAATTTAGCCATTTTAATTTACAGAGAAGAGAAAAAGCTCCCGCCCCCAACACACCTACCAAGCTGTAAATTGACCTTTTATTCCAGTGGCTGTCTTTTACCCAAGTAATACCACTGGAAGAGAGCTTGAGTTATGATTTAAGTAGACCTCATAATTTATACATGGAGACCTGGGAAACTAGATGTCCAGGCAGGTTTAATGTCTTGCTAAAGGTCACACATATAATTTAATGTTTTACTAAATGTCTAAATTAATTTGTTTCTACTAATATAATGGAAATGCTTTTGAAAATGATTTTTTAATGTGAGTACAGTGTACGTTAAACTAGTAAATCCAATGGAAGTGTTTAGTGAACACCTATCCACCTATGACTGCTGTCTCTGCTCTTGCCATAGTTGATTTTCATTGTAATTAAAATAATTAGATCGGAATTACTCTAAGATTTCATCTCACTCCTGTCAAAATGGCAACCATCAAGAATACAGGCAACAATAAATGTTGGTGAGGATGTGGGGAAAAAGGTACATTCATACATTGCTGGTGGGACTGCAAATTAGTGCAACCACTATGGAAAGCAGTATGGAGATTCCTCGGAAAATTTGGAATGGAACCACCATTTGACCCAGCTATCCCACTTCTTGGTTTATACCCAAATGACTTAAAATCAGCATATTATTGTGACACAGCCACATCAGTGTTTATAGAAGCTCAATTCACGATAGCTAGACTATGGAACCAATCTAGATGTCCCTCAATAGATGAATGAGTAAAGAAAATGTGGTATATATGCTTAATGGAATATTACTCAACTTTAAAGAAGAGTAAAATTATGGCATTTGCTAGTAAATGGTTGGAGTTGGAGAATATCATGCTAAGTGAAATAAGCCAATCCCACAAAACCAAAGGCCAAATGTTTTCTCTAATATGCAGATGCTAATTCACAATAAGGCAGAGGGGG